GGGTGGACTGTCTGGTGGGCTCGAGTTCAGATTGAAAACATTAATGAATTGTTTCATTCGATTCATCTTTGGAGTCCCCAGGCGCTCCCACTTCTCCAGTTGGTATGCTGAGTTGGAGTGGTTCTATCCAGATTTTCGGCGGCAATATTAACTAGGTGTATTCTTTTTTCGGAACTCTTACAACCAAAAAACCATCTTACCTTCTTGATTTGTATACTCCTTGTTCCTCTGTTCATTCCTTTAACACTAGATCTCAGTTCATAAACCTGTTTGTTTCCTCTCATAGAACTGTTTCCTTTAAAATCCTTCATTATGTGTGCTATATTTTTGGAATCCCCTACCTATCTCAATACACAAATCCTCTTCCTTAACATCATTTATTCCTATACCTTGTTAGCAATCAATCTTGTGAATACATGTAAGAATAAAATTTTGTATTAAAGATCTGTCACTCTCATTTGACTGTTATGTTACTATTACTTACATATAATCAATATTGTTAATCAGAACAAATAGGGGAACATATTTATACTTGTGTACAAATCAATATGTTTACTCCTAATTAATTAATTTTAATTATAAGGTTAGATTGTTAGCTAAAATTTTTATTTTTTCTAATGCCAGGCAATTTTCAACTTTTTGTACATTATAATTATTCTAAGGGGACTAAATGTCCCAGAATAAAATTTATTTTTCTTCTTCTTCTTAAGATAGATAAAAGGCCTAATTTTTACTATAGAACAGAATCTTAGTTTTATAATATTAAAACCTTGATGTTATAAGGTTTAAGGTTAATTTTGTTTAGTAACTATTATAAAATAAATAAGAATCTAATGTTTTAACAAATTAGTTTGCATGATTACTTCATTGCCTACATCTCTATCAACTACAGGAACATTCCAACTCCAACAGTGTCAGCTATAGCTACAACATAACTTTTCTATTAATTTTCATTTTTTTTTTTTTTTTTAAGTCTAGATAACGTTTCTTCCATTTTAATAGATAGTTTGCAATCTGGGGAGTAGTTCTATTAGAAAAACCAAAGAAAAATACAATATTATTATAATTAAAATTGTTGCACCTAAAAATTCAAAGAAATTTCGGTACTTGTCCATTAGCTGGACAGGACCAACTGCTATCTGCCAATGTCTAAAACCTGAACACTGATAATGCTTATCATAATTTTATCTTTGTATTCATATTTACTGTATTATATTCATATTATTGAAATTGAAAACAAAAGTAATAATAAAAAATACTTTCATTTTACAACATATATATTAAATATATGAAAACAAATGTAATAATAACAAAACTGTGATATCAGGAAATTACTTCAGGAAACAAATGAGGCTATATTGAAAACTTTTATGCCACAAGTACACAACACACCTTTATTAATCTACATAAACATCACACTATCAGGAACAAAGGACTACTGCTCTAAGGGAAACCTCACCCAAGCCAAATCTTTCTTTGTTTACAACAGCTATAATGCTGCCTGATAACATGCATTAACTCTACACACTTCTACCTTTACAATGCTATGCTTTAAATTGTAAACTGTTTAAAAAAAAAAAAATTTAAAATATACAATACAAAAATTTACAGGTTAAATCATTAATTTAATAACACTTAATAAACTGTTCAACAAATGTTTTATTCTTCCATTTTTAGTCTTGATAAGATCAATGGCTAATAATGTTTTTTTTTCTTCCCTTCTAGTTTTGGAAAACTTCTTAAGAGTACAATGAAGAATTATTCGTAACACCAGTTGTTACTTGTACCCCTCTCCATGTACTTTTCTGGCTAAAATCTGGTTCTGAAGGGGATCTTTGGCTGATGACAGACCTGACATTATATCTTGTGATGCTCCTGGGAAGACTGTTTCAAGCTGCAGATGTGACAGATGGTTTTACTCTAAGGGTTGTATTATGCATGGAATTATTGTCTTAACTGGTACTGATCCGATCTTCTTTGTAGTGCCATCATCTAGACAACCACTATGTAAACAATTGTAATGGGTCGAAGATATTCCAGCTTGCTCTGAATGGTGAGACTCACTTGCACTAGAGTCGAAGCGCTGTAAAGGCATCCCTCTCGTAGGCATTCTTGGCATAGAACAGGTCTGGGATTTAGTTTGGCCAATAACTGTCCAACCTAGCCTGGTTTCTCTGGCTATCAAATTTTCAGTTATTGGTTTTAACCTTCCTGTCAGATTTTGTCCATGATATCTGCTGCAAGAATCAACTCCACTTCTTGATTGTCTCTCCCACCATCGCCATCGCTCCATGTTATATTATTTATTTCTAATAACTCTAGGCATTTATCATTTGATTCAAGCATATCACCGTAAATTTTTATGTTTATAACCTCGCTTCAGCATAAAATTTACCTGTTAAATTTTCAAGCTTGAAATCGTTCTCAACTTTTGTTTCTACATCCCCAAGAAGATTATATGAAAGTATTTCTTCCTTTTCAATCAATAATTTCTCTCTTAAAGGGCTGATAGTTGCTGAAATATCATCATCATGCCAAGTTTTATTTGAATGCTCAATTAAATCATCAAATTTACTTTTTATTTCAATCCACTTGTCCTGAAAACTAATGGATGCATCGAATTCATCCTCCAGTTCTTTTTCATCAACTAGTATGATCTTACCTTCTCTTTAAAATCTAATAGATGTTTAGCACTTGCTTCTAGTTTTATAAACTCCTTCTTGGACTCAGGATCAGTTTCAGCTATTCTTTTCAACTAAACTAGCTAAAGTCAATAAATTTCTCCAATGAGCTCTTTCTAATTTGGCAGTTTTCAACTCTTCAGCACTCATTATCCTTAATTTCCAACACACAAGAGAATCCACTACTTAATATTAGGAAATTACTTCAGGAAACAAATGAGGCTTTAACTATTTGACAGTTTTCAACTTTTTAGCACTCATTATCCTTAATTTTCCACACAAGGGATGCCATTATGTGATGTAAGGAAATCACTTCAGGAAACAAATGAGGCTGTATTAAAAACTTTATATCACAACAACTACACAAAACACTTGTATTGCTCTACATTAACATCACACTATCAGGGACTAAGGACTACTGCCCTAAGGGTAACCTCACCCAAACCAAACCTTCCTTTGTTTACAACAGCTATAATGCTGCCTGATGTATAAGCAGACCTACAGTTTGGTTTTTTTATAATTCCCACAACAATGAGAAAACACTTTAATTTTACAACACATATATGAAACAGACAAAAATAAATGTAATAATAAAAAAAAATGAAAAAATAAAAAAACAACAACATATGAACATATAAAAGAAACACTATAAACAAGATATGTAGAATTTATTTTCACTTCACCTAATTCATTTTGGTAGACAAAATAGTTAATTTACTATTTAATATATTAAATAGACGAATACAAATGTAATAATGACAAACCAGTTTGGTTATTAACATCCATAGTGATTGATTAATAACATTAATTAAAAATTAAAAACAATAATAAATAAAATTCTACGAAAATAACATAAATGGAACAAAAATAAACAATGGAATAACTCAAAGCTTTGACGAGATAAGAAGGGAGGTTATGTGATGTAACAAGGTAGGTTTCGTCTAGACCTCCTAAGCAACAAGTACCGAAATTTCCTTAAGCATGTCAGCTACTAGTGCTTTTACCCTAATTATAGGCTACATATCATAAGGATTTTTCAAATGCTGAATAATTTCTTTTTTGTAGTAATAAATGTTTTGTTTAAAATTTAATCATTTCTTAAAAAGACTATCAAAGGTAATCTTCATTGTTGTAAACTCTTTAAACTCTTAATATAAACTCTTTCATTGTTGTTTAATATACCTACTTAGTAAGGTATAAGAAAAATTTCACAGGTGTACTTTGAGGTAACTTTTAGTAAATCAATTTTGAAGTTATAAAATTACGTTGTTTTAAAGCTTGTAGAAATAAATGAGTCAATAGGTCAAATTATGAATTGATAATTTGATGAATGACTTACTTAAATACTGGACATCCGTAAATATCAAATAAAATTATTAAAAAGAAAATTAACTAGTAGTACTGAGCTGTAATGAAAGATAAAACAATAATTGAACAAAACATCAGCTGTCAAATCGGTAATTGTTTAGAGGGTTGTATTTATCGCTGGGCACCATTAAAGTCAAAACAATTTATGATTATCTTCTAATTATACACTCCTGTTTTTTCTTATTATGGTGAATTTGAAAAATTTCACCATTAAGTTTTCCACTTAGATTGATCATTCGTCTTACTCTGCCAGGAGTGCCGACGAGAATACCTTCATAATGAATGTTTTAAGCGTATTCGATTTATGAAATTCAAGTGGTAACTTGAGTTTTGGGAGAAAGAGAGAGGTATGGATAATCTTGAAATTTCTCCGGGCCAGTAACAGATTCAAGATTTTATTTTGGTTGGAGGCTAACTTTTTTAAACGTTCGTTGAAAGAATAAAGATGTTTTTAACGTAAATTTTTTATATTTTTACTTGGCACGTATTCAGTAGATGAAGCACATCCTTTGTAACCGCTATCCATCTTTACATGTTTTTTTTAACTTAAAAAGAGATTATTGTGATTGTTTAAGTATTTGGCTACGACAATTAATAGAAAGAAATATGAACCAATAAAAAAAATTGTTAAATTTTTTTTAGGGGGGGGGGACGGTGTGGGATGAAACCACATACTTTCATAGTGATATGCATATGTATTTGTATATATACAAATAATATATTCATATTATTGTAATATTACTTTGGTTTATAGATTTTATAATAGCTAATTGTAAATAACGAATAGCATTCGTTTTATAGTTAAGTAAATGTGAACTGTAGCAATTATGAAATACTCATAGCTTATGTATGAAGGCTGAAATTTACTTTATCAATCTTATTTTGTATTTTAAAATCAAGTCAAGTAATGATGATACTTCAAATCTTTTTTCAGAATTTAAGTTATATTTGATAAATTCGTTTTTCTGGATATCAAGACATGTTTGTGGTGATGGCAACATTGTATACCCACGAATAGGTCTATCGTGTTAATAAGGAACCTTTTTCTAAAAATTTTGAGGACTTCATATTCTCTTGAGGCTTGCGTATTTTTGAGTTTACGGTAAGCGTGATGGTTATTATTACATAGTTTTGCGTGTATGTGGTCTTAATATGAGTTAATTTATCGGATTAGATTTTAAACTTGTTTATGTTAAAGGATTTATTTGTTTTAATGAATTTGATAAAAGTCTCTTGTTTGTATGTTTTCCCCCTAATCGTTATTATTAACACTTAATTTGTTTTTATGTATTAAAAATAACTTTTTTCACCATAATGTTGTAATATTTTTTAATTGTATTTTCGGATGTTATCAGTCTTACTCTCTCTACCATATTTTCCTAAGATTTGCATTGTAGTTGTAAAGTATTTCCGAATGCATGGTTAAGGTTAGTTTCTTTGTCCGTTAGTTTGATTATTATTTGTTTTATTACTTAATAATTTTCAGTTTTTACATAAACTATTTTTTCATTTTTTTATTTTTCTTAATATTCAAGGTGATCCAAAGATGAAGATTCCAGACCATGAGACAGTAGATGATGAGTCTAATAGATTCAAAGAGGAGAAAAACAACTCAAACCATATCTTTCAAGAGTATATGTGGATGGAAAATGAAGAGGAGTTTGATAAAGAAGTAAGACAACATATTTCTTTGTATTATTATAGCTGCTATTAATCTGATTTGTTATTTTGTTGGAAAATTCATGTAATCATAATTTTTTAGGATCATTAAGGTTGATTAATATCTCATTATAAGTTTCGCTTTCTTGTTCTTACCAAGTTTATTATCATGAGTAATAATCAATTTAAAAAACATATGGTCATTTTTTTATTTATAAATGATTTAAATTTTTAGTAAATTCTGTGATTGTTTCAGGCATGTTTCTGTTATGTTCGATAGATGTATATTGTTTTTCACTAATAGCCTGAAACTTCAATTTATGGCTTAAATGTTATTGTATTCACTATGTTTTAATTTAATAAACTAGAAGATTATTAGAATGTATTTAAGTAGGAACTTATTTGTTATTTTTATGTTTGTAGTTCTTTTTGTTACGTTGTCGTTCGTATCTCTACCATTCAGTCATCAAGAATGATGTAGTTAGAATTATTTGATCTATTAAATGTAGGATGTTTTTATTTAGTAAACAAGTTTGTTGATTGGTTAAACTTAGAATTATGCAGCTGGGTAGTATATAGTAGGACCCATTTATTTTTTATCTTTCTTGGTTTTGGAAACATTATTCATGGTATCTCTATCAAGTGACTGTATAGTTGTATGTCACAATTAAAAAAAAGGGAAAAAATAACAGAAAATATTTCGTTACTTTTGTAGAAGTTTTTCAAGGGCACTTATTTTACTTACAAATGGTTTCTCCAAGGATATGTGTGTATATATATATATATTTATATATATATACATATATGTATGTATAAGCCTTAATGGTTTAACAATTGTTAAACAACAGAAAATATTCATTTTTCTTCTAATGGTTTTCATTACATGTATTCAAAAGTGTTAATGTTGAAAAATTTATTTTATATCTATGTATTTTTGTTTTTAACGGGCCTCTTAATCGAATCATTCTTCCTCATATTTATAGATTTTATTGTTTGGTTGAATGTTACTTATTTCTTGATTATATGTATGGTTATTTAATTTAAATAATATTATTAACAGTGTATATCAAAAGAAGTGTGAAATTGTTTTATAAAACTAGTTAATCTTTAGAAACTATCGGCATCTCATTTCTATTTTTTCCCCCTGAGATATTTGTCTGAATTGGTTCTTTTTAGATAGTAACCATTCCTAAAATCATAGATTATTTGCTATTTTTTCATCTGTCTCTTTCCGTACTACAGGTTCTCCTCTTTAATAAAAACTTCTTTGCTTAATTAAAATGTTCTTGTTAAATAAGTTGAGGATTGTTATAGAATAAGCTTCTGAGATTCAGAGGGACTGACCGTTTTCAAGAAACTCACATTTTATTTTTGTATTACTAATCTCATCCTTGGGAATTATTGTTAATATATTTATTTTTCCCTTTTTAATAAAATTATAAATTGATTTTATTTTCTATTTTATCATAATTCTACATATATACGTTTTCATTCTTTCTATTGATGTTGTTTGTTTTAATACATTTTATCAATATTCTACCCTCCAATAGTTTCTGTTTATTTCCAGAAACTTATCATGTATCAATGATTCAGAAACTTTGAAATGTTTTAAATAGCTCACTTAGTTAAGTTTGGGCCTTTACAATGTGAATTTTATTATATACTTTCGTAAAATTTGTCAATTTTAATATTCAATATTTTTTTTTTCTTATTATATTATAATTTTTCTTATTGTAATTCTTTTTTTAAAAAAGCAACGTAAAATATTATATTGAATATTGGTGTAAAAACTGAAATAGACTAATTATAAAGTTAGTAATTAAATTGATACCACTATACAAATGTAACTTCACTTTATATTTGTGTTTACAATATTACCTCCCTTTATTTAGATTATGATTTATTAATACAGCAAACTCCCTAATAATCCTTTTCAGTTAAAATTGGAACTTTAATTACATTCTATTGAAATTGACCTACACCTTTAACATCAAGCTTCAACTCAAGAATGCAGATTTTTAAATTAAAATAGATTTAACTTTATATACAGAGGGTCTCAGTTCTTAATGGCCAAACCCTGAAGGATGATTCTAGACAAAATTTCCAACTAAAAAGTTCATTTGATGCATGGGTCGATTTCAAATGGAAAACTAGTTAAGACCAATTTGGTGTGGTCACGTTTTTATTGAATAAGAAGGAATTGCTCAAAAACTGTTCTGAAAAGATTTTGAGCAATTCCTTCTTATTCAATAAAAATCTTGAACACACATTTCCTGTTGACATGTCAATTTCCTCTTTTAATTCTTCATTGCTGATAACTTTGCCTTCATCAGAATAAACCTCCGTTGTCCCATTAATCTCATCCGAACTTACCCAGTTCCCTTTTATCAGCTCTTTTAAATACTCTCTTCATCTGTCTACTACATATTTCTCCCACCAAATAATTTTTCCATCAGTTCCTTTTCATATTTTCAAAGAATTTGACGATTCATTCCTCCAACCCTTAAATTCCAATGCATGTTTCCAATTTTCGGGTTCACTTTCGTGTTTTTTCCCCATTTTGAGACCAAATACCTCTCAATGATTTTCAGATACCTAGGAGAACATTTATCTTCCTTTCTTTCCATCTTTTTTTGGAGAGAATAAAGCATTTATTATAAAAATTGTTTATGATATGACCCAACCTCAGAACAAAATAAAAGAAGTAAAAAAATAATTTAAAAATGAAATTAATTTTATGATAATTGATATATAATTTTTGCTAAATAGTCTGGTTCCTATTCATTATATGACATTGAAATAAACATAAAGGATAATAATACGATTCATTTCCGGAAAGTTCATTAAATTTAACTAACCTATAAGAATCAAAAGATATATAAAAAAACGTTAAATTTGCTAAGTAATACTAAATTGAGTTTTATTTTTATAAATGCATAATTTTTACAATAGAAACCACTTTAAATGTCCTAGATTATAAGAATATATATATAAAATGAATTATTGTTTTGGACAATTATATTATTGTATTAAATTTGTTTGCTAATAAAATCAAAATAGTGTACAAGAAAATGTTATTATAGCCCTGTAACGATGCCATTTATAAGAACCAAATGAGGTGGCAGAGGATTGTAGGCGCCTAGGCCAGTGCTGCTTTTCCGTCAATTGAGTGCATTTTCTAAACAACCATTTCAAATATTTTAGAAATTAATCAGTGATTTAGAAAGAGAAATTTATTCTCTAGATGTTTTATTTCACAGCATTTTTGTTATTGTTGGCCATTTAATTACAAATGACACTTGATTTTCAACTTTAGTTTGAACAACTCAAAAAAATTGACTTTACTAGTATTTTTTATTGCCAAGGACAATTATTTTTTTAAATATTTGGATGTATTGTTATTCTATGACTATCCAGTTTTAATAAAAGTCCAACTATGACAAAATTAAGCATTCCTAAATTTCAGTGACCGAAAAACGAAGTAAAGCCAATGTCTTCAATCCATCATGTTTGTACACCATTAAGAGACATTGCAGCCACTTTTATTTGTGGGAACCTTGATTTTTTTTTTTCAAATAAGTAGTTACAAGGAACACAACTATATGCAATTTATGGGGAATGAGGGTGCATGGTAGAGGGGTCTGTCCCATGGACTACATGTTGGGACTATTGTTAAATCAATAGTTTCAAGGAACACAATATGAAATTTGTAGGGGTGGGAGGAGGAAGGGAGAGGTGCTTGGGAGGGTCTAGTCCTGTGTGCTCAGACAATCTCAGCCTGAGTGTGTTTTCGAATACATTAAGTCAAGAATAATGGAATGATAAAATCCTAAAGCTAAAGGCTGTTCCATTTGAACTTCATTAAGGAAACCAAAAGGTTCCTTAAATAATTATACAGTTGTTATTTTAATTATAAAATTTAGTCAGTTATCTATGTTCCTCTTGAATTAACGAATAAAATGTATTAAAATTTTTACATTACAAATGCTACAACTTAGATAAATAGCAAGGTAGTATAATGGAGGTTTCCAGTATGCATTTAAAAATGTTTCTATTTGGGAATTTTTGGTGCAACTCTTGAAAAAGTTTGGAATTAGTTGAGATTTTCTATAATCAAAATTGATTGAAACCATATTAAATGCATAACATGGCAATTATAACCTTCAACCAAGCTTGCCTATTGTATTATTTTGATTATAAATGTTGCAATTACTTGCTTATTTATTATTATATTTTTTAAAGTTATTTTTATCATTATTAATATTTTTAGGTAATGAAACAGTTAGAAGAAGAAGCGTTAATGGAACAGTGCATTGAAGCTATGTTAGAAGATGAACTTGAAAATAAAGTACCACTGTGAGTGTTTTTTATTCAATTTTTGTAAGAGTATCACTCAAAATGTCATACTAGGAGTATTATTTTAAAACCGAAATACAATTTTATAATGTTTTAATTCAATCAAATGTTAATTTCTTTACAGGATTTTTTAAATATTTAATTACTGTTTATTATTAATTATTAATTATGCCAATAAATTAGCATTTGATTGTTATACTGTTTTTTCAGGTTGTTTTCTTAAAGATTCACCTCAATTTTTAGATCTCTCTAGGGCTTTTGATAATGTACCCCCGGATGAAAGTCCTAGGACTTACCTTACTTAACTTAGTGAATCTTTTACTCATGCCGAAAAGCATAAGGAATAGTGCGGTTCAACAGCAATAAATCAGACACATTTAAAATGGGTATGGGAGCAAAGCAACAAGGAGCTGCTTAGGTACAGAATAATATTATTAGCTTAAAAAGGAGCCTCAAATGAAAATTAAAAAATAAGAACATGCATCCATTATTCATTCAAAATTTTGTATTTGCAAATTACTCACCAGAGGCACTACCAAGGTTGGAGGAAGCTCTGAACTCAAAGGGCCTATTAAAACCTGCTTATGCCTCTTAACCCTATTAAGGAATATGGAATTGTGGCTTGTTGAGGTTTAAATTTTGAACAGGTTAATGTATGCCTATACTTAATAATCAAAATTAGTACTGATGTCAGATTAGAGTGTGGAGCAGCAGAGAATGGGTTTATTCATTGACGAGTCTCTCTTTGATCTGTACCATTCATGCATTGACAGATGGTTGAAACAGTACTGAAAACCAAGAGAGTGATTCACTTAATGTATTCTTCTTGAGTCTCATTCTTTGCTCTAACTAGATAGGTATGGTGTGAGCCTGCGATGGAGACGGATGTTTAACCGCACAATAAAAAAAATCATCATTAATAATGTAGCGGAGTGTCCTAATTGAACATCAAATGTGCTCACATGATGGACAAAGATGCTTGCACATTGTTTTGTTTTGATATCATATCATCTATATCAGTGATGGGCATGTTTTAATTCAAAAATATAAATACGAATACCATTTATATTTATGGCACATATGAATATACTTATATTCATAAAAAAATATATAAATACAGATGATAAGTATTCACAGCTGAAATGTAAATAAATATGGCCGTATTCACGATTGTAAACGTGAATACTATTGTATTTACACTTGTAAAAGTGAATACGGCTGTATTCACGTTTATTAAAATGAATACGCTTAAATTTACAGAAGTGACTTGGAATATTTTCACACAACCTTATGAATGAATACTCTTATTTATTAAATTAATATTAACTTTCAGTCATGTCCATTAACATCCAATTTCACTCTCCTAGGATGTATAGTTAGGTATTTTCAAAAATAAAACAAAAAAGTATGCAAAAATTAAAATAAAGTTCTTGACATTAAGGGGTTTATTGAATTGAATCAATCTCTTTAAAAATGTTGGGATAATGTTAATAAGTTGGGATTTGCTCCTCCCTCTCCCCAGTAAAAATTCAGAGGGGGCGAGAATATCGTTTTGTCCCCCTACAATATTTCGATGAACAAAATCAAGAACAGTTAATCTACACAAATCAATAAATTATGTAAACTAAAGTAAATTAAGATAATTAGAAAATTTTACTAATTGGCTAAGCTAAGACCTAGAAGTATATATATATATATATATATATATATATATATATATAGCATTTCCAAGTCAATTTCAACCTTTTCCAAGTCAAATTCAACCTTTTCCAAATCAAATTAAACTTTTTCCAAGTCAAATTCAACCTTTTCCATTTCAAATTAAACCTTTTCCATTTCAAATTCAACCTTTTTTTATTTATTTAATTATCTTTAATTTTTCGATGCGTGGGTCTGTTATCGTATGAGTAGTTTTTTAAAATAACCTCCTTTTTAAGATTACGTGACTGCGTTTCGAATTATTTAAGTTTTTTTGACTTATTCGATATAAGGGTGTATTTTTATGTTTCCCGATCAGTAAATTTTTAAAATGACATCTATTTTATGTTTACGCCACTGTGTTTTGATTTATTTAAGTTTTTAGAATTTATCCAATATAAAGGTCTACTTTTTTGTTTCCGGAGCCGTAGATTTTGAAAACGACCTCCATTTTAAGATTAGGCCACCGCGTTTCGACTTATTTGAGTTTTTCGGATATTTTTCATATGAGGGTGTATTTTTATGTATCCGGAGCTGTAGATTTTGAAAATGACCTCCATTTTAAGATTAGGCCACCGCGTTTCGACTTATTTGAGTTTTTCGGATATTTTTCATATGAGGGTGTATTTTTATGTATCCAGAGCTGTAGATTTTGAAAATGACCTCCATTTTAAGATTAAGCCACCGCGTTTCGACTTATTTGAGTTTTTCGGATATTTTTCATATGAGGGTGTATTTTTATGTTTCCGGAGCTGTAGATTTTGAAAATGACCTCCATTTTATGATTACGCCACTGCGTTTTGACTTATTTAAGTTTTTCGAATTTATCCAATATTAAGGTCTACTTTTATGTTTCTTGAGCCGTAGATTTTGAAAATGACATCCATTTAATGTTGACGCCATTTCATTTTGACTTATTTAAGTTTTTCGAATTTATCCAATTTAAAGGTCTACTTTTATGTTTTCGGAACCGTAGATTCTGAAAATGATCTCTATTTTATGATTACGCAACTGCGTTTCAACTTATTTAAATTTTTAGAATTTAACAAGTATAAAGGTCTAATTTTATGTTTCTGGAGCAGTAGATTTCCCCCATTTTGTAAATGACCCAATTTAAAGTTTATGCCACTGTTTTGGATTATAAAAGTTTTTTTTTTTACTTTTTCGGTATAAGGATCTACTTATATGTTATCCGAGACGTATTGAAATTTTTCTAATCTTTAATATTTAAATTTATCTAATATTTAAGCTCCATTTTATGATTAAGCCGCTGCATCTTGATTAATTAGGCTTCATTTTGGATTTTTTCAATACAAAGTTTCATCAATATGTTTTCGAGTATGAATAAATAAATAAATATTATGAAGCTAAAGTAAAATTAACCACAGAATACAAACTAAAAAGCCGAAAAGCAACTGGTAATAAATTTAACCTTCCGTATTCAGATTTTTCAGCTAATTGTTCGAAATCTTATAATTTTGTGATAGGAGACCACAAAATTAAAAAAGATAACTAAAATTAAATTAAAAATGAGACAATACATATTTATTTATTTTGATTAGATATTTTTATTTATTTATTGAAAAATAAATTAATCCTTCGTATTATGTTTTTTATTCGAAGGAAAAAGCAAAAACACTTAACAAAACCGAAACACAGTGGCCTAATCTTAAAATGTAAGTCGTTTTAAAAACTAAGGCTCCGGCATCATAAAAGTAGACCTTTAAATTGGATAAATTCGAAAAACTTGAATAAGCCGAAACGCAGTGGCGTAAACATAAAATGGATGTCATTTTCAAAATTTACTGATCGGGAAACATAAAAATACACCCACATATCGAATTTGTCAAAAAAACTTAAATGATTCGAAACGCAGTCACGTAATCTTAAAATGGAGGTTATTTTCAAAACTAGGTACAGGACAGCATAATACTAGTCCCTAAGAAATCCGAATAGGTACAATAAATCGATATCCGTAAGTGAAAATTCTACTTAGGAGAGCATAATAATAGACTTTCATATTGGAGGGAGGGAGGGGATGGCCATTATTTAAAAAAAAATATAAAATTTACAAAAACTTAAAACATTAATTTGAAATGAAAACGGTTGAATTTGAATTGGAAAAGGTTTAATTTGAAATGGAAATGGTTGAATTGACTTGGAAAAAGTTTAATTTGATCTGGAAAAGGTTGAATTTGACTTGGAAAAGGTTGAATTTGACTTGGAAATAATTGAATATCACATAGAAATATCACACTGAAAAAATCTAAAATGTTAAAATAAATGGATATGCAACTGCGTAATCAAATTTTTTTTTGTATTTTTTAAAAGCTATGCCGTCGATAATATAGTAAGTGGCCTTCATTTCGAAAAAAATCGAAAATTGACAAAAATTCTAAAGTTGAATTTGAAATGGAAAAGGTTGAATTTGACTTGGAAAAGGTTGAATTTGAAATGGAAAAGGTTTAATTTGACTTGGAAAAGGTTGAATTTGATTTGGAAAAGGTTGAAATTGACTTGGAAATGATATATATATATGTATTTTAGCACGCTCTAAGTTTCTATTATAGAAATTTTAGTTAATATTCAAAGATAATTATATGTAGCAACATATCCTAGGATTTTATGATTAATTCGTGACCACTCTTCCAATTTTGCGGGAGAATTTTATTAAATTTCCGGCAGCAAATATAAAGCGATGAGTTCATCTCACTGACTCAAACCTTTGAATACAAATAAAGACCAAATTTTGCCATAAATTTCATATATTGTTATAATAGAGGTATAAATTACCGTTTTTCAACCAAATATTTGTATAATTATTTCTTTGATATACAATACAATTAATACTCAAAGTATAGTCCATTGTTATCTACCGCCATTAGCCATCTGCTAGCCAATTGCTCGATCCCACGCTGATACCATTCTTTGGGATGGTTGTCAAAGAACTCTTAGACCTTAATTTCAATTATGCAAAATTATGAAATCTATTCCCTTGAAGAAAATGGCCCATGGATCTAAATAAGTAGTAATCCAATATTATGAGATCTGGACTATATGGTGGATGAGGCAAGAGTTTTCAGGAAAGGGTTTTTCAATAAATGTTCTAAAATTTCTAACCTCTTAGCTGATTGCTGAAGAATAAGTTGGTGAGAAACCAGTCTACTGCTCTTTTTCATCTTCCCCATGGCGTAGATGGCGACTAACAGTATCTTTCAACACACCACACTCCCTGGCAAGTTCTTGAGTACTTGTGGGCGGATTTGACTCAACAGCTTCCTGCAGAACCTCATCAATATCCATTAATGGTCGCCTAAAGCCCTTCTTCCTTTCCATAATATATCCACTGCTAAATTTTTCAAAACCAACGCTGTGCAGTGCGCTGGTCAAGGACACCTTCCCTTCATATTTAATAATTTCACTAGTTGCTTCAGTGGCTGTGAAATTTTTTTCCCAGTAATGCCTTAAAATTACGAGAATTTCGTAGGACACTGTCATGTTTCTTCTTTGAAACAAATAACTAAACTGAGGTATTTTTTGAAGAAGTCAAATGGGATTAAACAAGCTCAGAGAATGATCTAAAGGGATTATTAAATATTGGTAAGTATTAATTAGGATTAAAATATTTACATTCCTTTGAAATCTTGAATTTGATAAAACGGTCATTTTTTTTACAATACTTTTATAATCGTGAATACGGCCGTATTTATATTTACAGCTGTGAGTACGTTTCACCTGTATCCATATTTCTTTTTATGATATATATTCATATATCAAAAATATATTCATATTTATATTCATAAGTGCGTAAATATAAATGGTATTCGTATTTATATATTTGAATATAAATATGCCCATCTCTTCAAATAGGTTCCTTGAAAGGAAATATCGTAATTAAATACTGACTCCGATAAGAAAACTCCTGATTACATGAAAATAAAGCAGATTGTTTTTTTATCTATCATACTATTCAGTGTCTATCGTTATACCTTCTTCATTACTTTACCACAGACACACACTCGTAGGCATAACAAACACATTTATTTATACTTGTACCAATGATATGTAAACAAACAATAGACATATTCTTTATTATTAATTTTACTTACCTTTATATGTAATATATAGTAACAGAACGTATTGTGAAAATTTTTTAATTTTGATTTTCAACGGAAATACACGTTTTGAGGTTCCCTGGGGGTCCAAATAATCAAGTCCCGTAAAATGGTCTGTGTGTGCGTGCATGCGTGTGTGTGTGAACAGCCTAGCTCAAAAACGAAAGGTCGTACGAAACTGATCATTTTTATGATTTTCTTGAAAATGGCTATAAAAATTTTGATTCAATTTATTATATTGGTGTAAAATGAAGCACTATTTCATATAAAATAGGTCTTATTCTCATTGATGTTCTATAACAGCCCTTAAATACCTAATTTTCAAAATTTCTTTCTCTAAAGTAGCTTTAATTTTTTTTATTTGAAATAATTAACCATTTCACATTATAATCAGCTATAAAAAATGTTTAAATATAAAAAATGAAAGAATTTTATATTTAATTTTTAGTATTATGAATACAATTTTATAATAAGCAATAAATAATTATAATAAGAAATGAGGGATCGTAGTAGAGATCCGAATAAACTGGAGCGCTCACCGCTTGACTGAATGGTTTGAGTAGGTTTCCATACGTAACACATGCTCAATAAAATGTGGGCTATGATAACATTATTATTACATATACATGTGCAGTTTTCATAATTGCTAGCATTGGTATTATTTGATAATTCATTGTATAGATTACAGCAATATAAAAATTAAAATTTGTATATATACCAATGAAAACAAAGAAAAATATCTACAATGAAATATGAATAAATATAGCAGCCTTCTTTATTAGTCGTAATCTTGTTGGACTATAAATGTTTCATGGCACTTAAAACATTTTATTTATTATAATCAAATAAATAATTAAAATATACATTTAAAAACAAATGGTTAGTGGCAAAAAAATCATAAATATAATTGATTAGACAGCTATGAAAAAATATGGTTATTAATTGTTTTAAATAATATTATGTACTGTCTGTAATTTTTACTTTCACTTCCCTTTTCATGAAAATAACCATTTCTGCTGAAAAAAGAGTGGTAAAATAAACTTGTGTGATGCATGCACCAAGCCATATTTTTTTTAATTACCCAATTCATAAAACTATTAATATATCTAATTTATATTTCAATTACACATACAGTATCTATTATCTATTATTTCTTATTAATATATAATATCTATTAGGCATGTATAGTTGGCACTGTTCTGTAAACTTTAGTTTGTTCATTAGTCCTATTTTGTTTATAAATAGGACTAATGAACAAACCATCAATTGATATATCAGTAACATTGATGCTTCAAGATCGGTTTGAAAGTGCCCTGTTTTCTATTTTGGATGCTCAGAGGGTATGTACTTAGTTAAGAATGTCTTCCAAAGTGACTTACAATTTGTGAAGTTGTTCTCTAAGCCACTGATGAACTGGACACATAAAAATTTACTGATTTATGAACTGGACACATATTGCCTCTGACACATTGTTGTCGGCATTTACTTGGGAGCCCAGATAAACAAATCTTTGGACCATTTTGATTGTGTAGTCACCAATCGAGATTCGTGGATGTGGTGCATTTATGCCAGCAATCATATACTTGGTTTTGCTCTCATTTATAGAAAGTCCCCTTTTCCGCGCAGACTGTTCGAACTGAGCCAGAAAAGCCTCCTTTAAGCTGCAAAGTGATCTCTGGATGATATCAATATTGTCTGCGTGTGCCAGGATATGTATAGACTTATCTGGACTCCTCGAATCTTCTCATCCTAACCTACAAATATTTCATTTGGAAAAATTTTCGTAATTAGGATGTTTTCAATCTGGAAATTGGCAAACTTTTTCTATTTAATTAGATACTAAAAACTCGTAAATAGACATTTGTTTTCCACCTTAATCGTAATATAATATCAGCACAAAAGAAAAAAAAAGGTGGCATACAAAAATATTGGGCCGTTTGGCCTATGTAATCTCGTTATTTTGACATTTTGGGGGTATAGGTCACGCCAAATGCCTCAATATTTTTGAAGGCAACCTTTTTTCTTGATCTTACTATTGAAGTGGGTATTTATGAGTTTTTAGTACCTAGTTAAATAGATAAAGTTTGCCGAACTCCATATTGAAAATGCCCCGATTACGAGAATGTTCATAAATAAAATAGTTACAGATTACGATGAGGTGAAGTATTTAGAAGTTTTAGGCGGATGTTAATAATTTATAAAAATGGGTATTGTACTACGGACTGTTAGGCAAAGCAGTAAGTTAATAGTATGTAGATCCCACCTAATTTAGCAGCATTAGGGCACATGACGTTATGTCTTGGAAAATACTTTTAAAAGTTAAGTAGAGGCTTTCAAATTCAACTGGCTGTGGGAGTTTAGATAATGGCAGGAACTTGACCTGGGTGATCTGAACTTAAATATTGAATTTTGCTTTACCTGATCGTGTATTGTGTCTCACTTAATTTTTCCTGTCTCTGATGTTAGTCAACATCTCTTGTACTAATGTTGATTTTATCATTTTAGAAGAGTAGTTTAGAGATAAAAATTAGTTCACCTTTTGGTATTGAATAATGTTTCGTTCCACATTAGGTATTACAGCATTTTATGTTTTTTAATTGTAATTTTATCTTATATTCCTTTAATGTTTTTTCTGTTAATAGATTTCATGACAGATTTATTTTACTGTATGTCTTATTCTTATAATTTATCAAGCTATGAATTAACTTGTTTAAAATTTTGACAATTATATTTTGCCATTTTTATTTGATAGGAAATCATTTTATTTTTGGTTTTACTAAATATTTGAGTTATTGTAATTTTTTAATGGATCTTACTGTTTTTTTTTTTAATTTATTATTTGTTTTTAGGGATGGTGGAAGCTTTATTTCTGAATTTGAGAAACTCGCACTTCATGAAAAGGTTGAGATTGCTCGAAAGGTACTTGTAACCCATATTTAATTGTTTTTATTGATGGATATATTCAAAATATACCACCCATTATTTGTTTATAATTATTGTGTTATGATGTAAAGTTAATTTTTGTGAGTGTGCAAATAAAATTAATCAGACAACAGCCCATCAGTCCTAGTAATTTGTTTGGTTCTAAGTCTAAACAGTATGGTTGCAAGATAGGGTTTGTACTTGAAAGAATTTAATCAACTCAGTAAGACCTTGATTCTCTCCATTGGCATAGATGGGTACCTAGTATAGGGGATATAACTTTCTTCCCACAAGAAAGTTTTAAGAAGTACAAAAAAAAAAAATGTATAAACATTCAGATATCATTAACCTACATTTACTTAATAATCACTTCCTGAACAAAAACCAAACAGCGTTTTGATTTTATTGAATATGTTCCTATTTTTGTTCTAAATTATACAAGATAGCAATTGGGACATAAAACAACTTACAAAAAAATATATACATACATAAATGTGTGTATATATATATATATATATATATATATATGTATATATATATATATATTTTTTTTTTTTATTGATGGCATTACAGACCTTGTGGCCCAGTCAAATTAGCACAAAAAAGGGTCTACCTTGCAAAAGATTGGGTAATTCAAATTTCTTTTTTATATTGTTAGGTATGCAGTGAATATAAATATTTAAGTTCCCGCCCTTGAAAGCCTTGTGGGTTCGATGCAGTGCTCCAAAAACCTTTGAAATTTCGAACTGTTGAAATTTGTTTGTTTATGCTGAATATCTCCTTTTTAGAGTGACATATAATAAAAATGGTTACATTAAATCTTAAACCACTTAAAATTACCTAACATTTTTGTACATAACATTTTTCTAAACCATACAGGAAGTGAAATATCGAGCTTCCAAAATGGGTAAAGCTTTGAAAATTTGCAAAAAAAAAATGTATAATTTTTTTGCTTTTAAATTATCTGTTTTTATAGATGACTTAGCTTAAATTTTAAACTTAGATATTAAAGCAGACACAATTTACAGCTTTTATAGAAAAAAACATATTTTCTTAACTTAATAACTTAAATACATATAGCTAAAAAGGAATTGACGTTTTAAAATTTTAAAAAATCCTTACACTTTTATTTTTACTGTTTTCCACTTATTTTAATGTAATTGGTCATAAACAAGTACTGTTTCTCTTGTTGCTTTTAATGCCACATCATTCAGTATTTGTAAATGCTATACAAAAATAAAGGAAATAAAAAGAAAAAAATTGTTTTGGACAATTAATTATTGTATTAATATTTGTTCGTTAATACAATAAAAATAATGTACTAAAAACATATTATAATATTATTATGCAATTTATGAGTACTGAATGATATAGCAGGTGTCTTCAGGTGCCTATGCCAGAGCCACTTTTCGGCCAATTAAGTGTATTTTCTAACTAACTGCTTCAATATTTTAAAAAGTAATCAACGTTTTAGAAAGAAAAATACATTCTACAGATGTTTTATTTCAGGGCGTTTTTGGTTATTTATTTACATATGACACTTGATTTTCAACTTTAGTTTGAATGACAAGAAAAAATTGAATTTATTGATGTTTTTTATTGCCATAGCAAATTATTTTTTTAATATTTTATTGTTCTCTAACAATCCAGCTATAATAAAAGACCAATTATGACGAAATTAAGCCAAATGCTGAATCTCTACTTCTATAGCTTCACAATTTATTGGAGAGCCAAGGCTTATCTCAGTTGTAGCCGCCAGTCTTCTCTGTTTTGTGCTGCTGCTTTCCAATTTCTTATACCTAACAAATCTGATCATCTACTGCTATACAATCCACGGATGCGAGGTCTTCCAACTCTTTTATGTCCAAATATTTTGACTTCTAGGAGCAATTTGGATACTTCATTACTATTCATGCGTGCAATATACCCTGCTATGACGTCCTACTTTTATTGAATGGACAATACCAATGTGTAAAAATTCATGCTACTACACAATACATGGTCATTGTCGAGATTCGTAAGCTCTAAAGAATCTCAAAAGAGCTGATTCTAGTTCTTTTTGTCCAGCACTCAGATGAATGGGTGAGAACGGGCCTGATCAGGGTCCTATGATAAATACGTATCTTGGTACGTACTTGGTGGTCCTATAGAGAGCTTCACGTTTTAGGTGCCTCTGTAGACCATAATAGTATCTATTAGCTACCATCATCCGTCTCTGAATCTCTGGTTACATATTATTAGTTGAGTTCAACAGTGTCCTTAGGTAAATTAATTCCTAGACACATTTGAAGTTAAAGTCCCCAACTTTTACGCTCCCTCCTAGATATTTCCTCTTTTAGGATTGCAAAGCACATACTTTTTTTCGGTCTCGTTCTCCTGCAGTCCAAATTTAACGTTTAACTTTTTGCATATTTAGGAAGGTGTGCTCTCCATACTCAGAAAACTGCATCTTACGACATCTAAATTGTCGGCATAAGCAAGAATTTGACACAATTTGTTGAAAATCATCCCTGCTATTTGGATGCCCGACGCTTTTATGCCACATTTCAATGCAACATGAAACAGCAAGTATGCTAAACAATCACCTTGTCTGAGTCCCTTGTGGCTATAGAAAACATCAAAAGCTGAGTAACCTTTATGGTCATTCTGACAAGGCAGAATAGCTTCAGAGGGATGCCAAGAGTGATTATTCCATCAGAAAGCTCCTCTCAAATCATGCTGTCATAGGCAGCTCAAAAATCCACAAAAAGATGGGTCTGTATATTATATTCAGCCGCTCTCTCCGTCATCGTTCTCACCGAGAAGATTTGGTCCATTGTAGCTTTTCCTTTCATAAAATCTGCTTGATATTGGCCTATTTTCTTTTCAACAAAAGGTAATAGACGTTGGAAAAGGATATTGGAAAATATCTTATAAGCAGAGAGAAGGAGAAATATTCCTCTGTAGTTCTCACAGTTAAGAGGGTCTCCCTTCTTGTGAATGGGGCATACTACAGTTTTATACCATTCTTCAGGAATGCAGATGTCCAAGATCATTTTCTCCATATATTTAAAGATAGCTTCTCCTCTGTGTTTCGAAAGTTCAGACGGAATTCCGTCCACATCTGGTGCTTTATTATTCTTCTACCGATCTATGGCGTCCTTAATATCCTCTTCATCTGCTGTTTCCAACTCTTCACCACTGATATTGGTCCCAGGTGGCATTTATTCTTTCATGAACTCTTCATTTATGAGGTTTTGAATATGGTTCTTCCAACTCCAAATAACGATTTCTCTCTCAGTTACACATTAGAAAACCATCTATATCATTACACGCATTCGATTAGGGTCTGAATGATTGGCAGGATCTGTTAATTCAGAGGTAAAACTTTCTGATCTCATTCTGTATTCGAAATGTCTCAATTTCTTCAAATTCTTTTCTCTCAAGATCTTTTTTCCTCTTATGCATTATTTTTTCTGCCCATCTTTTGTTTCTATAATATTCCACAGATGCTCTGGTGTGCCTCCTCTGGAACATCATGCGATATGCAGTGTTTTTCTCATCTGTAGCCAGTTTACATTCCAAATCAAACCAGGGTGCTCTATTTTCGATAGTTTTCTGCCCAACGATCTCCCTCACATCATGCATTATTTCTCTTAATATATCCCACCTTTTGCTAATTGTTGCAACTAGTTCAATGCTTTATAGTTTCTCTGCGACGGATTTATTGAACTGCTGCCTTATAGAAGGTTCTTTTAATTTATGCGTTTCATATTGAGTGGTTTTCTTAACTTGCTTGATATGATTCAGTGATATTGGTGAACACAGGTCGCCAACAGGTTGGGGTCCATATCAATGTTTGCTCCTCGATGTACACGCACATTCCGTTTATGGAACTTATATCTCCTACTTATCAGAATATGATCTATCTAATTTGTGATGATTCCATCATTGGAGTGCCAGGTTGCAAGGTGTATCCTCTTGTGATGAAACAGAGTGTTAGCTACCGCAAGATCCTTAGCTGATGCAAAACTAACCTTTCACAAAAATCTCTCTCTATTATCATTCATGATATCATGGATACTGTCTTTTTCAATGGTGGGACGAAAAACTGATTCCGTACCTGTTTGTGCATTTAGATCTCCAACTATAATTTTCACGTCATGTTTTGGGATTGCATCGGTAGCTTGCTCAAAGATACCATAGAAGTCAACCTTATCTTCATCATTCGATGTCTCTGTAGGTGCTTGAACACATATCAGTGAAAAATTGCTGTATTTGTCTTCCAGGCGAAGGAGACATATTCTTGGGGTGATTGGTTTAAAGTCAATTGCCAACTCAGCCATCCTGCTAACACCAAATCTAGTCCCATATATGTATGTTGATCCTCACAGCTGTAGTAGCTTAAATGGCTCTTCTTGCTCAGAATTTCCTGTCCGATCCATTTCATGTCTTGTATAGCAACAATGTCTATTTTATATGTTTCTAACTGGTTGAGGAGCTGCTGTGAAGCTCTAGGTCGGTATAGTGGTAAAACATTTCTATTTTAAAGTCAGTTAGACATGCATTATGTCATTTCCTATTAATCTGTTTAGCTTTTCTTTTCTTGGGGTTCATAATAGTTTTGATTTAAGGGGTGGGGGTGATTAGCCCTCACAGCCCCCAATTCAGATGGAGAGGCTGTCTCCTCAGAGCCCTCTGACTTGATCCCCCACCCGGGGTAGCTATCCAGAGAAGGTGATCCTGGAGTGTGTGCTGTTTTTGACCTTCGTTGTGATGTGTGCTGTATTAGTGTACTGTTCCTGGAGGTCCAGTGGTTGTCTGCGGTACAATACCAGGCAATGGGGCCACAACCTCCCTGTTCCAAAAATGCTGAATCTCAGTGATCGAAAAACTAACTCAAGTCCAAGGTGTCAAGCCTCCACGTTTGGACACCATTTTGGGACATTGTGTCCACTCTTTTTTGTAGGGATATTATTTTTTTTTTTTAATAAATAGTTACAAGGAACAGAAGTATA